CTTATACAAGCTATCACTGCTAAATCCTAACTGACTAAATTGTATTTTAGTTTAATATAGTTAGAAACCTAGTAGTTTCCATCGAAGTTTACACCTCCACTGGGTCTGCCTCTCTCCTAACACGTTCCTCAGTACTAAGAGGTTCCTGAGCCTCTGACTCATTCAAATCCATGCCGTCCTGAACAGGTAGCGTGTCGAAAATCTTGGCCGAGTCTCTCTGTCTCCTAGTGAGCTTCGGAGACTTCGGACTATGGCTGCGAGTGTACATAGCTCCTAAATACCCCCCAGCCTGAGACTCATCACACTCGTCCAGCTGACCTTCCGCCTTTCGTACAGACTGCTCCAGCACCCCGCTTGGATCCTGCCAGGACTGCGCGGAAAACGAGCCTACCGCACAGATGGGTGTGGTCTCTACCCCTGCTTCCTCTGCAGGGGGGGGCACTCCTAACTCTCTTGCCACTCGGATGAGTCACAGCCCCCACTGTGACTTCCTGCACTATACAGGACACAACCCCATCCTCACGTTTACTGCCGCCGCCAGAGATAGGTGTAGCCTCTACCCCAGCCTTTTCTGCTGGGAGCCCACACCTAACCCTCTTACCACTCGGATAGGTCACAGCATTCACTGTGTCTTTAACCAATCTACCCTCCTGCACCATGCAGGTGGCAACCTCATCCTCACGTTTTGCTGCCGCCGCAGCTAACCTTTCGAAGACAGGACGCTCCGCATCCAGCTTCTCCCAAAAGTCCTTACGCAACTTCTGCGGTCTGTACGGACTCACGTGACACACCAATGTCACAAAGTCAGGCGAAGGCATGACCTCACGGCCATGCTTTAAGAAAACACCTGCCTCTGGGTAGATCACTACCGGATCTGCCAAAAGCAAGGGTACCATTTCTTTGAACCACCTCGCCTCCGGAACGTAGGGACAAACCAACGTAGCCGTTGCCTTGGCCCTCCTGATCCTGGATACCACTATGCCTAAATCTGACCACTTAACCCCCCCCCCCCCAGCCTACGATGTAGGCTGGTGAAATGGTAAAATAGAGTTGGTCGGATGTGCAAATCCTTCCGCATCGAATGGGCCAAACTTGCACCATATCTTGGTAAACGAAATCTTACTTAAGGTATAGGACTTCGTCTTTGGTTCCACCACCACCGGCTTACTCTAATGGACTCGTTCCTCAACCGGAGCACTCCGCGCCTGCATGATCGGATCAATGTGGTAACCCAAACGCGACTGTACATCAGCCACAGAATTCAACACACCCGGTATGTGCTTGATAACTATGTCAAAGTCTCGCAGCACTTGGGCATAGCGGGCCATCCTCCGACCTCTCACCAACGAATCGTACGACAGCGAGTCCTTCGTCAGCCTCATGACTAGCGGTTTATGGTCCGTGTAGATTGTGAGTGGATGTTGCGACCTCTTGACTTGTCGCTATGACTTGTGTAAGCAGTACACGATGGTAAGGGCCTCCTTATCCGTGATGTGGTAGCCCAACTGGGCAAAGCTGAACTTTGACGACTAGAACCCTACCGGGCAGAGCTTCTTCTTTCGTCGAGCAAACATCCCCCCACCCACTCCTACAGAGTCGCACGCATCGCAGTACATCTCGAGCTTATCATTGAACTGAGGTTCAACCAGCACCCCCCGGAGATGGCTGCGCAGCGTATGAAGTTTTGGGCTCTGCGGCATTCGCGCATCAAGTCTCCACTTCTTGCGTCGATATTGTGTGCGCCGTACTTTCGCCCACTTACCCGACGGACTCAGCACTTCCGGCTGATCCTCATCTGCTGCCTGAGACTCCAAAAGTCTATCACCTGAGTCTGAGGAACCACAGCCAGCCAATCTTGCTTTGTCCACATGAGGGACAAGCGTTCTTTCAGCAAGTCTTTAAAGCCAAGCAACACGTCCGTGTCAAAAGGCAAAGACTTCACCACACCAGTAATAGATCCATGGGACTAACTACCGAGTTCCACCCCTCCCCCCCCCACACATGTATCCAACGTAACTGAAGACTGCACAACACCCGACGGACAAACTAAGCCCATCTCTGCCACACCTTTGTATGGTAGGCCGGTGTAACGCACGATCTGCAGGCCCTGTTGTGCCGCAAAGAACTCCGATACCAAACTAGGAGTGGCACCCGAATACACGAAGACCTCAGCCTCTGCACCCTGAATAGCACCCTGAATGACACTGCCTACCTGGGCCATCTCTTCAACAGCAGTACCCAATGACCCTTCCAGTCACTTGCCTGCTTACGGCACTTGGCCGCTATGTGCCCCATATTATGGCACTTGAACCACCTGATCTAGCTTATGCGCTCCTTGTAAGCCCCGTCAGATTCACCACCTGACACCTCTACCCTATCCTCGTCCTCCGAGACCTCAGATCGAGTACGCTTCCGCGCGGACTTCTGACGCTCGGTCTCATCAATCCGCTTTCATAGATCCTTCTGCGACGTCTTGTTCTCCTTACGCTGGTTCTTTATTTGTACACGCAAATTATAAAGAGCAGCCAAAGTGCCATCCATGGCATAACGATTACCCTGAGACACTGCCTGCACCGTCGGGGCGTCTGTCATAGCTGGACTAGCAGCATGGATGCGATCATTACACATGTACTCTAGCACACGCGCCAGACCTGTGTACTTATAGTTTTGACGCAGGTTCTTGGTATAAAGCTGCTGAAGAAACACGTTCACGGAGTCATGAATCACCCGCAGATTCGTCATGGCCACTTTTTCATACTGTGGTTCAGTACGCATCAACCCCATGAAGAACGACGCATGGGGGCTCAAAAAAAAAATTACAACATGTGGGCATTGAGGATACCCTCACGCGTAGCCTGCGACGCTCCCTTTAAGAACTGGGCTCGCATAATTTGCGCAGCCTCATCTATCACCCTTAAAATTCTGGATGGGTGCACCAGACGCCTCCACCCCCATCTTTGCTAGTTGCTTCACCAGCCCATCTAAAGCCTTAGCCAGTCGTACCGCCAAAGTTTTGTCACTGCCCTCTGCATCCGCAATCTGTGGTTGCTGAGCTCCTGGTTGCTCCGTAGTAAGCTCGGCCTCCTGCTGCACCTGCTGATCCGTCAACTTAAAGAGATTGTAAGCCATCACAGCCCATACACCTGTAAGTTTGTATGTTCTGCAGCAGCGCTTCAACCTTTTCCGGTTCCCTGTCATAGACAGCCGCCAACTGTTTGCTGTTTCCAGCATCGCACTCCTCGGCTGAATAAAGAGGATAGACAGCATCTTGTTGTGTCTGGCCAACACAACTGAATCCACCATTCCAATATCCATCCATCGTTCCCCCAAAACTTGGTAGATGCTGGCCTGATCCACAGTGGTGAACCCATTGAGCATGTAGTCCTTGCCACTGTGTATCAAATTCGCTGCCGGCACTCCTTAATCGTTGTATTGTTGTTGTATTGCTATCAATCCTCCGGCTGTCAAGATATTTACACTTATCCAGTGATATGTATATATGTATATACACTTCTCCATACTGATATATAAATACATACAGAAACACAACCGCATAACACATACTGAACAAACACACAATACGCATACACATACATATAAATATACATGTAAATGTATATGCTGTACATGCACATGTACAAGACATGTCATACATATATATATATATATATATATATATACTTGTACATGTAGATGTAGTACATATAGTTAGTAAAAGTACGTAAATAATA